CCAAAAAGTGTGAACTCTCCTTTAATGTTAATGGTTACTAGATCATTCAGATAAAGCAGAAAATGGATAGAACCCAGAACCGAACCTTGTGGTACATCTGATGTATTATTTTCAATATGCGATTCATTTTCTTGGTGTTTTACTAATTGATTCCTGTCTATTAGATAACTGACAATCCTCTGAAGCCATAACACTGACATTTAAATAATAGTATTTCATAGTTCACGCAGTCGAATGCTTTTGGAAGTCACAGAATACTGCCCTAATAGATTCATCATTATTTAAATCAATATATACATTTTTCAGAAAAGAGAACATTGCATCGCCTGTGTTTTTATGGCTTTGGAATCCATATTGAGATTTGCATATTAGTATGCTATGATTACTTAGGAAGTTCAGCATTCTCTTTTTGACCAGTTTTTCAATTATTTTTGAGATTGTGGGAAGCAATGATATAGGCTGGAAGATGGATCATTTCACCCACCTTCATGAAGTGGAATGACTATTGCTAGTTTCAGACATGTAGAAAATCTGGCAGAATAAAATGATTTATTATTGGCCTCAACAAGAATATTTAAAGCGCATTCTGGGAGATTTTCTAAAATTTCAACTGATATTTCATCATGAACAGATGATGTATTGTTCATTATTTCATTTATAGTTTGCTTCAGTTCGTATATGTCTGTAGCAAATAAATGAAAGTTATCTGAAATATTCATTTTTTTCATAATCTCAGTTGGATGGATTGTCGGCTGTAATTCTGATGTTATTTTTTATGCCATCGTACAGTAGAAGTTGATCAACACGTTAGGATCTATATCCGCATCAGTAGGCAATATATTACCTTTTCTTCGTAATTTATTTATTATAGCCCAGTCATCTTTGCTTCATTTCCAGCCTTGTATAGTTTGTCTTCAAAATATCGTTGTTTGGCGAATAATTCAGTAAAGTATACTAACAAAGTCGATTCAGGAAATGAAGTGGTTTCATTCATTTATGCCAGTTCAAAAAAGATTCATAAGCCATATTATATACTTTCTTTGACTTTTCCGGCAATGAATTCAGTGGGGCAACTTCAACAGCTTTTTTATTTTTTTGTGATGCTGAAGAAAAGTCATTTTCATTTTCTATATCTATTTTGATTTCGTTTTTCAACACAAAATATGAAAACACTGAGAAATCCAAGCACACAAGTCAAATTTGTTTTCTTTCAAGAGCTATTTCGCTGTAAAAAATGTTCCGAAAAACATGGTATCTGAAGAATAAGATATGACAGGCATATTCAAAGTCGCTGATAGCTCAGTGTAGATGTTCCTTCTATTAATATACGAATATCGGATTAGACCAGCATTGCTATACGCCTGTCCAGTATTTTACAGGCTGAAGAAAACGCCTCTTCAAAGACTGAAAAGAATGCAAAATGAAGTTCTCAGTATTATCAGCGATAGCGATTAATACACTCGAATAAATGATCTCCTGGAACGAACCGTAATTGAGAGAGTGACGGACCACATCTGAACACTCTCTTACAAATTCTATAGATTTTTCTTACCAAGAAGCCCTCTCTCGACATATATCACCAATATCAGGGCACAGCATAATCAGTGACAATACTAAAGAACAGGCAAAACAGTAAATCAGACCATCGATTAATCTAAGTTAATCACGAGACTATTCCTCACATATGAGCCTACAGGCAGGAAGCGTGATAAAGACGTATCAAAAAAATTGGGTCAGGGAGCCAAATAGAGCAACCGCAAAACATCAGCGGGGGTGCTTCCCGTTGAACCTATCCAACGGAACGGGAGGGGTACTTGGACATATAGAAATCGAGCCTGGTCTAGAAAAATCTACTTTTTTAATTTTTTTCATATATGTAGGTACATAACTGAATTGAAATCATTTGGTGATTTACCCGATAAAACTTTAAAAATCGATTGTTTGTAGTACAATATATTATTATAGCTAAATTAAAGAAGCATCAGCATCTGACAGCAGTGATTATTGACTCACTAATCACTGCCGTGATCAATGGGTATTATTGAGGTCGATGAAACAGTCGTAAAATGGGTACAATATAGAATAGTGGTGGATAAAAGCCGTTAATTGGTAAGTATCGCACTCATTTGAAGCAAATCATGGGTTTCACAATATTTTGGTATAAAAGTATTCTATAGTTCTACCTACTTTTTATTTATTAACTTCAGGAGAATTTGAATATTCTTGGAGTATGTTGATTTTAATGAATGTTACGTTTCAATCTCACGATGAAAGTACAGGTATATCAAAAAAGTATCAGGAATCGGTCAATGAAACGCAAAATATGTAATATTACTTGGAATTTTTTGCATTGCTTACAAAGAAGGCCCTTTTCAAAATAGACCAACGAACAACGCAATCATTAATATGTGTTTTGAACGCATTTTTTCAATAAACTTCAATACTCGCTGCGAATTCTCCTTTATGTCCTATAGAGTGGAGACGGGCGCCTCGAAGTGGTAATTTGAAGCCATATTAGGTGAATACGGTGACTGTTACAGGTGACTGTTCTGGGGCAAATATTCTTTTACAATAATAACCTTGAGTGATGGAGCGTTTTCGTGGTGCAAAATTCATGAGCTTTCTGACAAGTTTGCTATCTCAAACTTCGCATAACGCTCATATAATATTCTTTATTTACTGTCTCACCTTCTGGCAAGAATTTCGTAATGTGAAAGACTGTTATTCTTTCAGATCATAGGTTTTCAATAGTATTGATCAATCCAATTGAAATAAATGAAACTATCAAATTATCACATATACACAGCAGGCTGTTTAATGAAACAACAAACTGAAATTTACAGAAATGTTGAAAGTTCAAACTTGAAATGAGATGAATGAAACAAACCAGATGAGATGTTCAACATATTTTTTCATATATATAATCATATATTTTATCAGTGTTACCGCTGACAAGCAAAATTGTAAAAAATAAAGATAGTAAAACAGGCTGGGTGACAGAGGAGTTGAAAGAATCAAGTAGAAAGTTGAAATATCTCTATATTTTGCAAAAAAAAACATAACGTCCTTCGTGAACATTACAATCTCATGAATAAAACACATTCAGTGTTAGTTGAAGGATGCAGAAACCAACACTATAGCAAATTATTTCAATAGTCGGACAACAAAAGTAAAACATTGTTGAAAATCATACACTTAAAAATAAAGAAACGTCAAAATATAACATGCAAATTATACATAATTTCGAAGAAATCCCTGATCCTCTAAAATTAGCAAGCTTATTCAACGATTTCTTCATGGAGGCTCAAAAAAAGTAGCAAAGTCAATACCTGAAATTCTTAGTTTTAATTTCACGAGAAAATCCAATCCTAACTCGATCGTTTTGATGCCTTTCAGTGATACAGAAATGTCAATCATAATACAAAAATAAAAATGTTTACAGGTCCTGATGAAATTCTCACAGCTATTGTGAGAAAATTTGGCAATGACTTGGTTAGACCACTTGCACATATAGTGAAGCGCTCTCTAGAAACAGGGGTACTTCCCAGTCAAATGAAGTCGGCAAAGATAACTCCAATATATAAAAAGAAAGATGAATCGCGCATTGAAAATCATAGACCAGTATCGGGAATCTCTTCTTTTGCGAAAGTATTTGAGTACTGCATTTTACACACAATCACATCATTCATAGAGAAATATAATCTGATACTAAAAGAACAACACGGTTTCAGAAAAGGAGAATCTACTACAACAGCTTGATTTTTACCATACTATCCTTGAAAGAATTGACAATGACCGATCACCCATAGGGCTCTTTTGCGATTCAAGTAGAACTTTTGATTGTGTTCCTCATGAGGCACGGCTCAAGAAGCTCTAGCTGGGTGGAATAAGGGGCACAGCTGCAAAACTGATTTCATCCTACTTGTTGGACAGAAGTCAATTTGTACAAATATCTCAAAAGGAGCCAAATGGATCAGTGAGTAGGCATCGTTCAGAAACCGTGACGCTGGAAGTAGGCGTTCCTCAAGGTAGTGTACTAGCTTCAGTACTGTTCACACTGTTCATTGATGACTTAGTGGAATATCTACCGGAATACAATATAACGTTGTATGCAGATGATTCAGCTTTTATAGTAGACCGCGAAGGCCTTCTGACTAACGAGGACAACTGCAATCTGTTACTAGGGAAACTTGGGGAATGGTTCTCTACCAATCAACTGTATCTCAATACCGAAAAAACAGAATACGTAATCTTTCATACTAGACAAAGGGCTATGAAATATCAAATATCTTTGAAACTTGACAATGTACACATAAACCGAAACATTTCTGTGAAAAAAACCACTCAGCTGACATGACCATTTATATAGTATGACATGTTTTCAGCGACCTCCACACGATTGAGTTTTCTCAGAAAATTCTCGTTTTTCGGTACGAGTTGAGCGGCAACGCGTTCCATGTCTAAAAAAGATTTTAAAATTTTAGTAACTGTTCCATTTCAATTCAATTTCAGCGGTTTTCTCTCACAGACTTGAACGTCAATTTTCAGACATTTCCTGTACTTTACAGATGTTAAGTTCAATTGAGGATATTGGTGGCCGACCAGTAGGAGGCGATCTACTACCGCATCTTGACCGCTTTTCGATGCATTGTATCACTCATACACGCATTTTTTTTATTATTTCGATACACCGTCAGTCCCATACAACATGTTTAGTGCTTTGGTACATGAAATTCCCTTTAAAATGCAAAATTTAAGACAAATTCTGTGTTAGATATTTTTATCCATTGTAAAAATTACAAAATACGTTCAAGGTCGAATAACATATTGGGTAATGTAGATAAACTAATTGGCGAAAGACGCTCAACATCAGCTTGAGAATAAAGAACAGTTGTGCGAACGTTAGCTACAAAAATTTATTGACAATTCATTCACGTGGGCTTTTTGAATGTTCGATTCCAGAAATTCCTGTTATTGATATATCATTAACAGTTTCTTACCTTTTATGATGGTTATGGTGATGGTGTAGTCCTTCATTGATACTCCCCTGAGACGAAGACACTGTGCTACTCTGTTGGTGCAGCTTCCTTGGCGTGGAGTTGGCGAATATTCCAGACAACGTAGATCCGAAAAAGTCGTGGTGATGATGATGATCATCGTGATGTTGCTGAAGGGATGCAATGAATTCGGCAACGGGAGGTAGTGAAGCAGACGAAGTAGACGGCTGGGGCGCTATGTTGAAACCCTTCATGAGGCGTCGCTCTTTCTGTCGATTTTTCTTCCCACCAGTACCTGGAGGTGTTCAGACGAATTATAATCACCAGAGAGATTTGTCATTAATTTTTCAATGGATATTGGAGTAGGGTGCTGATGACGGTTCTGAACCTCCCTCAACCACTCGACCGTGGCCTTAAATGACGACCTTGCGCGATATGCATGTCACATGATATCGAATGATATTACACAATCTTAAGCTTTCGTCATGTAATATGACTTTGAGCATAGAGTTTGACCTTGACGATTGACTCTGCCCTTGATCCATCACCCTGAACTTGGGCCACATCATATGACCATGAGTGAATACTTATAGTTTCACATTGTTTGGACCTTTCTCATTATTTCAAATCTTCAGGTTTTTCTTGAGAGTTGAAATTATTTAAACTCGTTGGTGTTCGTCAATTTTTGGGGAGAGAGTACATTACAAAATATCAGTTTTTTTTTTTAAATTATAATCTCGACGAGCCTTCATCATTCATCATGTACTTGGATTAAACGAATCTTCATGGTCATATCAGTCATGTTATTTCCAGATCCAATCAATCACCATGGTTGAAAAAATATATCGATTTGAATAATAACCTGAGTAATTGTTTTTTCTATATATGGTAAAACACTGGAAAATGTTTAAAATAGAATCCAATGTTACACATTGGAAATGTATACGAAGGGGTATGGGTGCCAATGCTCTAATAGCTCGTGGAAGACTTTGTCATCATGGATACGGGTGAAGTTGAGGTTTGTTATAACAAACCATTGTATTCAAGGTTGAGTATATTGGATGTCGATAACACTTTTTCACGACTTTTTCTATGATGTCATGCATCATTGAAAATGTTGATGAATTTGATACTTTCAACTATGCGTCGGGTAATGAATGTTATGTGCCAGTTAACAAATTGGTGGGTGAAAACATGAAGGATGAACTTCTGAAGAATCACACAATCAGTTTCAATACCGGTGCCAAAACATATCACGTTCAAAGTTTGTCAGATGAAATGAAGAAAGCTGATGGTATCAAAACAATCTGTTTTTATAAATCAAATTTCAATTAATAATTAGATTAAGATTATTATAACAGGTGGTACGATAATACAAAAAAAGAATTTATTCAAGAGTCATTCACAAGATATTCATACTCTGATTTTCAATAAAGTCACTCTGTCGCTCTCCTGTCACATAAGGTCGATAAGCGATTCATAATTTCTAATACCACCTAGACATAACCATGGGACCACAAAGGTATTGAATTCCATCAAACGAGTTCGCAACAGAATTCTCCTGATGGAAGTATCAAAGAATGGGAACAATATCGCTGATGGAAATGAAGATCTTCTCATTCCATTATAAAGCAATCGGGTAGATGAATATCGCATTCCCATTTTTTTGTTCAACACTTTGGAAAATGTATACTTGACGAATGATTCAAACTAATTCTGCTACCCCAATTCAACTTCCACTTTCAACCCCCTCCTCGTGTTTTAAAGCCCTTGACTAAGGTCTTCAAAACACGAGGAAGGGATATCTCATCATTTGATTTCGGTAGTGAATCGAACAAACTTGTAGTAACGCAGCCAAGTCAATTGACGAAGCCATGCCAAGCGACCGAACAATCCGTCAATTATTTGGAAGTTGGCAGTCGCGAGCAGCTCGATGTAAGTACACACTTTCATAATATTGTCTGATATTCTCAATTTTTTTTTTCACAACCAGTCTTTGTTGAAAAAAGTTGTAATAACCCCAACAACTTCTCTGAACCTGAAGCAGTTGGAGGAAGTGGAGTAAAGTCATTTTCCAAGGAGCTTGTATCCCACCACAACCGGCGATGAATTACACTCAAAAGATGACGGCGCCAGACGTCCTCCTTCTTCAAGGGCCTTAACCCAGAGCGAGAAGAGCAAAAGGACCTGGAGAACGAACCACCGCTGCTCTCCATAATGGGACCATCAACTTTTCTCGATTACCAACCCATCTACACCTCTTTTGTGAATTATAGAATAGATATTTTGTTTTTGCTTGTTGATTTATATATCAACGATTCGACTTCTGCTCTGAAGCCATTTTCAATAGCCACTTGAAATTGAAGTTACATAATTCGAAGACGAGGTCGTAATCTACCTGACTTTAAATTTTTGTCACTTGTTTTGGCTTTGTTCAGTTCCAAGTGAACACTGTTTATGTGCCCGGACAATGAATTTGATGAGTACTTAGACACCATGATCTGAATAAGAATTGCAATTTTGAATGATTAGGATGTTTGAGTTAGGTTAGGTGGGTTTCCTCGGGGTGCACATGATTTGGTTGGTGCACACGGAATACTGCTTGGTTTGGAGCAGTATTCAACCTCACCACATATCTTTGTTTTTTGAAAACTGATTCACTATTTCTATCACTCATTCAATAGACTAAAACATGTTGTGGTTTGATGCAAACTCCATCGCTAGTTTGCTTCGTGACTCTCGCCTAGGCGCTCCGCGCCCACCACTTGCATACGGGTCGTGTATAAGCAGGCGTGAAGCACCCAACAATTGCATCATACTCACATATGCAACTCATGGTGATTCGTTCAGAGTCTGAAATGTTCAATGTTACTGTTATATTCATCTGTCGAACTTATTTCATCCACGTGAACTGGGTCATCAACTGGTGTTATATCATTGGAGGTTGGAAATATAGCTGAACCTATGGGGTGAAGTGATCTCGTTCCTGCTCTCTCATGGTCGTAGACCATACAACGAATGGCATCCGAACTCCTGATGACTCCATTCAGTACTTTTCTATAATTTATACACTCCAAACTCGAAAGTCTACGGCCTCCCTGTTGTCTGGCGAAGTACAACCGTGGAGGGGACGATTTGGGACGCAAAATTCTATCGACATGCATTATTTTTTGGTCTTCCTCACTTTGATTTGCTACAGCTTCCCTGGGATTAATTTAAGTTCTTCAAAGGAGAAGAGTGAGATTGAAATGGCAAGCATATTCTCAGCAGAGAATTTGGGAGAGACTTATTCACTGCTGTTACATCATATTGAACTGCTATGAACTGTCGCGCAGAGTAGACATTGAATGAATTGCTCCCGCAAAGTGTCAGAATCCAAACTGTTCTCGTGCTAATTTCTCCGTGAAAATTTGAACAATTGTTCATTTCTAGTTTACCGTTGTGTATGTGCAAGTGGCAAAGGAATGTTTGAATGACAAAGTTTTTAGGGACAGCCTTGCTGATGAAATATTTAACCTAGTGTCGAAAAAATGGTCCTCGTATATTGAAGGATTAACCAGAAAAATTTGTGAGGTTGAGGAAGCAACAGTTGAAGTTCAAACACAGCACAATAAAAAAATAATGAAACTTCGATAAGGATGTGGAAACAATTATGAACAGATTGAATTGCGTTGAGAATAACAATTTAGAACTCAAAGAAAAACTTGATCTATCCCAGAGGAGTGCCATACACTGTGACTTGGCATTTTAAATTTTTCAATTGGTACAATATTCTAAAATGTATGAGTTGAGATTATTCGGCATCGAGGACGTCAAAAACGAAAATTTAAGTGAGAAACTAACAAAGTATTTCAAAGATAAGCTACATGCAGATATAACTTGATTCGAAACTTGCTACAGAGTGGGAGTTTATAAGGATGGAGCTGCAAAACCTCGACCGATTAGGGTAAAATTCAGCTGTTTGGCAGACCGAAATATTATTTTTTTCAATAAAAGCAAATTAAGGGGTAGATGACTGTCAATAGCTGAAGAACTTACCAAGCAATGCCTGGAATTGATGATTAAGGCCAAAGTACAATATGGCAGAGAGGGAGTCTGGTCGAAAAATGGGACCATATATGTCAAACAAAATGACAAAAAAATTGAATTGAAAACAATGGAAGATTTGGAGAAGATTCAGAAGACGGGAGACGAACCTTCAATCTGACTGATGATCCTGATGATGTGCCCTTCATCGTATCTGAAAAGTGGTCCAATCAACTCGCACCAGTATTTTGCAGATTTTTCAATTTGTCTTAGAAGGAAGAGGTATTTCTTTCTTGTTGAAAGATTGCTCGTGTGTAGCCTATTCCCAAAAAGGGCAAGAAAAATCTTCCAAACAACTTTACTAGTGATATAAAGAATCATGTAGGAAGCCGTAAACCATCAAATCCTCAAATATTTGGAAAGCTTCATCATCTTGAACGATCATCAATATAGCTTTCAGAAACAAAGATCAACAGGCAATCTTCTATTCCCATATTTGGAATAAGGCAATCGAGAAACATGGAGAGTCAAGAGCTGTTGCGCTTGATATTTCTAAAGGCTTGGACCGTGTGTGGCATGAGGGTTTGCTGGCCAAAATTCAATGCTACGGCTTGTCAGATCATCTTTGCGTATGACTCTCCAGCCTCCTGACATGCTTTAAAGGACAAAATGCAAGCAAAGCGCTCTAAGAGGGATGCCCGTACGAAAGTAGCAATTCCCGTTAGATTGTGAATCGCTGGAGATTGAATTCATTTGGACAAATGTTCTCAGAAAATGTATTCCACAATAACATAGTTCTCCAAATGAGAGCTCTCAATTAGTGAATTTCGATGTTTATCAAGTTGAACTTCAAAACGATCAGCAGCCACAGTTCGTCGCGTATTTCTGATATGCACCGCTCTTGGTGAAGTCAAATGTGCCAAAAAATTGAACTTGAAAGTATCTATAAAAGAGAAACAAATCACCAACCTTCTTCGATGTTCCAAACTATTGAGGTTGCAAGTGATATTCGTGTCTTTGATCAGGAAGATGGCTCCGGCGGAGCTCCGTACATGAGAACAATACTTCAAAGAGGGTCTGACCTGAACTCTATAAAACATTAAAGTTGCTGAGGTGTCAATAGTTTCATGGTTCAGAAGTGTTACAAGCATTTGAAAAGCAGCCTTTGCAATTCCAGCGACATGATTGTACCAAGACATATTGGTGTCCATTTTGACCCCCAACAAATTCACCTCTAGATCTACATTAAGATCTGTTACCTTCTGCTTTTGGTGAAGATGTGCATCCGCAGCCGATGTCCTGGAATCCAAATTGATTGACGAGACAAGTGTGCTGTTGTCGGCAAAGCAATATAATGGATTTTTGGTTTCCTCCAATAAGGCGTTGATATATAATTAAGATCACATTGCACATTTGTGCATTGCTTTCAGTGCCAAATATCATGAGATTTGAAGGCTGTTTTATACTAATGAAGATTTGAGGACAATACGAGGGCAGAGTGGGAAAACCTCACCGGAAATATTAAAGGGTTATGATATCAATACCCAAATGAGTGGTGCTTTGATAATAATTTAAATAATGGAGTCTCAAGGGTCAGTTATTTTAATCAACTATGGTACCTGGAGAAGAGATGTATGTATTACTTTGATTCGAGTGACTATCAAAGCCATTAAAAAAACTTGATTTACTTGATCATTCAATTTGCGAAACTATCAGAATATTGCAGATGATCAACTTTATCAATATTAGATCAACATTGCCGGTTAGGAAATTAGTTATGAAAAAATACAGATCTGTGTTCAAAACTTCAAGCTGAAGAGTGGTCCAAGTCAAATGATATCTTGTTTCATGAACAATCCATTGAGCGTCTCTTCGGAAAAGTAAAAATAAATTTTCAATATATCTGCGAATAAGAAACACACGTAATGAATAGAATTTCAGGATTCTCGTTTTCCCACTCGTAAAGGCAACCAAAGTGTTAGGAATCACACGGTAAAAGGTAAGACCTCGTTAATTCTTAGCTCGCACAAGTTTCGACTTCTGAGAGTTGTCGTTAGTAAGGGTGCGATAGCTGGNCCAGAAACGCTAACCTCACGTCCAAACACAATGAAATTAGGGGTCATTCCCGTGACTTCGTGCCGTGCCGACCTGATTGCGTAAGCAATTTTCGCTAAATATTTATCCCAAACTTTATGATTTTCTCCGACATACGCCGTGAGCATAGTTTTGACCACTCGGTGTATTCTTTCAATGGGATTGGCTTGGGGGTGATAATTGGCTGTGACGGAGTGGGTAATCTGATATTCCTTGACTACATTTCGAAATAGTTTACTTTTGAATTGAGGTCCGTTATCTGTTATCAATTTATTAGGAGCACCATATACTAAGATAATTTGTTCCTCTAGAATTCTGGTAACGTTTGTAGCAGTAATCGTTCTCAGTGGAAACAGTAGGCAAAACTTACTGAAACAGTCACATACCGATACAATGTAACTATTTCCGGTGGAGCTTCTAGGTAAGGGTCCCACTATATCCATACATACCAACTGGAATGGATAAGATACGGCAGTTGTCTTACTCAGCATTAGACCGGCTGGTTTCTTCTGAACAGGCTTGGTTCTCAAACAGGTTTCGCAATTCTGGATGTATTTCGCTACGTCGGTCCTCATTATAGGCCAGTGATATGATCGAGATAAACGTCCTAAGGTTTTGAAACACCCGAGATGTCCACAAGTTGGAGGATCGTGGTAAGCCCTAATGAGGTCCTTCTTTCTTCCTTGGGTACAACTAGAACCCATTCTTTGGTTGAAGGGTCATCCAGGTTGGGGTATTTTACTCGAATTCTTTTATAGAGTTTATTAGTTTCTACTCTCCATAGAGGATATCGTGATGGAGATTTCTGGACTTGATTAACCATACGACAATACCACTTGTCTGAACTGGAATGATCTATACGGGTCTGTTCTGTATCGTTCACGTCAAGAATTGCATCTAGTATTGGTACCGCCCGAGAAAGAGTGTCAGGTGCCACGTGTTCTTTGCCCTTCCTATGTATTATGTCAAAATTATATTGTTGCAAACGTAGTGCCCATCGCGCAATTCTCCCTATTGGATCCTTGATCTGAAACAACCATCGTAGACTATAGTGGTCAGTTAAAACTGAAAATTTCGATCCTTCGATATGAGGACGAAGTTTTTCCACCGCGAAAAGCACCGCGAAAAGCACCGCAAGACACTCCTTTTCAGTAGTTGTATACCGACGTTCACTCTTCGTCAATGAACGACTCAGGTAAGGCACGACCTTTTCACCATTTTCGTGCTGTTGTGATAGGACTGCTCCCAAACCGTAATCTGATGCGTCCGTTTGTATGGTGAATAGTAGGTCAAAATTGGGACAGGAAAGGACCGGTGCTGAGATCAAACGATCTTCAATTGTATCTAATGCTCTGTCGCATTCCTCTGACCAGACAAATAATGGCCAGATAATGGCCTCGACTTTTCCAGGGTTAACCAATAAACCGGTCGAATTCACAACATATCCCAAATATTTCAACTTTGGTCTACAAAAACAACATTTCTCTTTATTGAGGGTCAATCCAGCGGCCATGATTCGAGACAAGACCTCTTTCAAAACAGAGATGTGTTGATCGAAGGTGGGAGTACAGATGACCACGTCATCTGGATAAACGAACATATACTGCTCAAGGTCCACTCCCACTACTAGTAGGTAAAGTACTTCTTGTGCTGATTGAACATTTAAAAATATGACTTCATTTCAGATATTTTTCTGCTGTGCAAGATCACCGAGTGACTTCAAGTTATTCATCCTGAATGATTTAATACATTTTATAATGTTTTGTCTTACGAGAGCACTATTAAAGTTATGAGTCAACTAGGAGGTATCAGTATAATTGAACCCGTAACAATAAGAATGTTAACTAGAAAGAACTTTACATTGAAATTCAAACTGGAGTGAAAAATGAATGACACAATAAGTTTGCGTTGTATTCACAGAGATATGTATCTTTTTCAAGGTATTCATCACAAAAACTTAAATTGATGACCCGGACAACACAATAGATTTATCCTGAATCAATATAACCAGATACATAACTTTCAGAAACTTTTCGTTGGTTCTGAAATTCCGCAAGAGACAAATCTGTATCATAAATATGTAAATTTTCATGAATATCAGATGAGAACTATTTTACACAACAAAGGCTAGATAGAGCAACGTTTAGTGTAGTAAATTTTTGTTTAAAATTTCATCAAAGGATACAGAGTGTGTCAAATTGGACACTTTTGAAGGGAATCTTCAGTTTTCAAACTAGATGGATGAAAACTGATGGCTGTGTCTGGAAGTCAAATATGACAAACTTAATGGTGAAAACTGCATATCGATATCTGTCATCGTTTCTGAGTTACAGTATGTTTTTCGAAAATGTGCATTTTCGAAAAGATTCTGTAACTTTTTTCCTGACGAAAATTTCTTGTTTCCATGAAAACATTTCTGAAGCATTTTTTGCGTAGAATTCAGTATTGTTAAAACTTATTTTTTCAAATGAGATATCAATAGTTATTGATGGAAAAATATTTTTATAATGAGACTTTTATATTCTGATAGAACTTGAAATTACCCTTTCAAAAACATACCAGTCTTGATGTTTTGCTTTGATTTTTTTGGTTTTCACATGTAGACTTTGAAACGCACACTTTGATCAAGTAGGGTTTGGGCGACGTGGCTATAAAACAGAAAGAAATTGTTCAGTAGTAGCTATCAAATGTTGAGAAGGCTCTTCACAGTTGTAATTAAAACACATAGTTTCAATAAAACTGATAACAATTTATACTATATTTACTGCTAATAAATGAAACTTCAAGAATAATGATAATAATGATAAAGAACAAACAATGAGATATTTTTTTTCAGAAAAGGTGTTTAAAATGTCTACCAGCTTCTCCTACATACAGGTATTTTTGGAAAGGTAATTTTACGCTCTATTGAAATATGCTGGAATTACAGGGTGTCTCATTAAACAAATAGTTTTCCATCAATAACAATTGATATCTCATTTGAAATAATTAGTTTCATTACACCACTGAATTATACGCAAAAAGTGCTTCGGTAATGTTTTCATTACGACAGAAAAAAAGTCATAGCAATTTTTCGAAAATGCATATTTTCGAAGAAAACATGCAGTAACTCAAAAACGATAATGAATATCGATATGCGGTTTTCACTATTAGGTTTGTCATAAAATTTTGCAATACCATGGGAGCAAGCAGTATTTATAAATCACCTGTTTTTCTGAAATTTGTTATTGTTTTCTTCAAAACTGTCTTGGAAGATTCCCACATTTTTTGTATCAAGATGAAGAAGAAAACTTTCTTTTCTTAAAATTCAGTCATCTAATTAAGTTTAGGCGTGAAATGAAAATGATTTAGATATTTATGAATCACATTTCTTCCTAGAAGTAATATCATTCTGTAATTGTTTTTCTCAAAATCTTTATGTCTTACAAGAATTATTCATTCATCTAATCAAGTTTTGTAATTACCTACTGTCATTGTAGAACAGTTCAATGTACCAGTCCAAACGCGTCTTAAATAACATTTATTATGAAAATTGTATAGTTATTGTAATGGATAGTTTGAAATGTCAATTCGTTATATCTTTAATAATCAATAACACATGATTGTCTCACCCATCACATTATGCGCAGTCGATGTGTTCATTCCTGAATTCTTCAGTATTTCTATCAGCTCAAAGCGGAACGCAGATATATCTTGTTTGATCTCGTTGACATCGTCCTCAGTGACGCCTTGATTTTCTGCTTTCCTTTGTTCCACCGTCACGTACCGCCGAACCAAATTTCTCATAATGCCCTGTCAACATGAACAAAATTATTGCGAGAGTTTAGGCATGTTCGACTTTTGTGACCCATACACATTTGAAAATGATTCGTTGAAAGTAACAATGGAACTGTGTTTACAGGAACACATAAAATAACTTTAAATAACAGTTGTGGCTCTAACATTTTTTTGGGTCGTATTTCGATGGATCAAACATAACAACACATCTATCTTCATCGAATCTGCTACTAACTTCCATCGTTGCAAATGTAGCAGAAATTAGAATAGATCTGAACCGTCACGGCCAAAATGACGAAAAAGTGTATGTACATGGGCTGTTCAAAAAATAAAGTGAATGTTCAAAATTTCACGGACTACATATTCGATTATCGATTTTTTCATGTTGATACACTCGTCTCGAAGATATGTACATAGTGTCAGCTGTTTGGCATATCGGATGGATCATGCCATGCAAATTTTTCGAAAGTTTTGGGCATGGAGCGTGTGCCAGCGAAATTCTTTCAAAAATTGTTAAATTTTTAGCATAAAACCGCTATATAGGCATCACTCAGGAATTGTTAAATGGCGTCAACAGCGATCCAGATTCACTTGAAAGGATCATAACTGGTGACGAACCGTGAATAAATGGTAATGACATCGAAACCAAAATCCAATAGTCCAAATCGAGAGACAAGAACAAAAAAGCACGTCAATTATGAAAAAATTCTGAGGTTTGGCTAACTGTTTTTTTTATCACCATGACGTAGTGCATCAGGAGATCTTGCCATACGGTCGTACTGTCAATAAAGAATATTATCTTGAAGTTATGCGCCGCTTGCGAGAAACAATACGGAGAAAACATCTGGTATTTTAGAGAAAATCCATGGCTTTTGCTCAATGATAATGCATCTGTTCGCTTGCCATTGCTTCTTCGTAGTTTTTTGGCCGAAAACAACACCGTAATCATGCCCCGTATTTACCAGATTTGATCCCCTGTGACTTTTTCCTGTTCCCAAGATTGAAGAGACTCATGGAAGAATGGCGTTTGGAGACGATACAGGGGATGAAAACTGAAGCGTCGAGAGAGCTCAAGGACATACCAAGAAGTGCATATCAGAACTGCCTCGAGGATTGAAAAAAAACGTTGACACAAGTGTATTATATCTGGGAGGGACTACTTTGAAAGAAACAAAATAGAAATTGATGAATAACTAAATAAAATTCACTTCATTTATTGAACAGAGTAGTATATATCTAGGAATCGGGAATATTTTGAAAGCAATAAAGTTTTATACTGAATATCAGTTGCGATTTCATCTGATGTAGTGATGATATTTGTAGGGTTTGAGGCCTCTTTAGTCATACAGGTCAGCTTCATGCAGATTATTCCATTACTTCAAAACCGATACCAATCAGTATATCGTAATGATCGAATCAATGGAAGTGATTTAGTTGAAAATGGGGTTCCCTAAAGCAGTGTATTGGGGTTACTTTGTTTATAATACACGTAAATGATTACTCGATAGTATGAATGCCATACAACTTAGTTTCGGGAACAACATTCATTGTAACGGTTCGTTCTTCGAAACAAAAAATAGTGTTGAAGACACCTTTCAATTTTTTGGACTCGCTGGATGTGTTAAGGTATCTTCAAAATCGATATTAGTGATTATGAGACAGACATCAGTTGTGAACTCAGCAGTTGCTTTCTCTGTGGAATGTTTCATAGTATTGTGGTTCATAGTCGAGAAGAGTATTGAAGAAATTTGTATGAAGAAGTTACAACGAAACATGTGACACACTGTTGTATTTCACGTCCTTTGCGTTCCTTTGTTTTACAGTCACGTCTTACCAAACTGAATTGTGCATGGGGGTTTGTCAAATATACTATTCCCCGAAGAAACTTCATTCATAAAGTCCTCATACATTTTGGAATAATATTCAGATTTGCTTGCTACTGGGGCAGGTTTTTCTCTGAAAATGGGATAACTACTTCATCAAACTTTAAGAATCCCAGCTTCTTTGTAAGCATTCCACGTTAACACTCACGTTAACACAATTTTACGGAACGAATGTGATTTTCTGATTTTTGAACACCGAGTGTTCCTACTTGTTCCGTAGCATGAGTTTTTAAGTTATTATTTCGTGAGTAAGTTCCATATTTCATTTAAATTAGCAGCTACATTGAGAATGAATTCTAGTATAATGAAATTGTACAGTTCGATAATAACCCAACGCATACATGTATTATCAGGCTAGCAACTTCCGTCGGGCAACTTTGTTGTCACTCAAATATTCCAAATTCTTTCTTTTCTATATAAACTGTGTGTACTGTTTACTTAGGCCATTTCATTCCACCTGAAGCGGTATGTCAGAAGTACTTAGTGATGAACAGCTGCCCACAGATTCAAAGTTCAACTCAACTTACTTACACTCAACTTACACATTTTTGAAATTTTCATTTATTACAGCAATTTGAATCCAACATAAGTAGTTGGTTTGAGTTGATTTCTAAACCTCCAACAAAAACTTTTTACTTTGAAACAACCTTGACCAACGTCGCATGATGTAGCCAAGGTGACTTTGAAGAAGTGTTTTGAGTTTGACCTTGAACAACCTTGTCCTACGTCACACGACGTAGCCAAGTGACTTTGAGGATGTGTTTTGCGTATGAAATTGAATGACCTTGACCAATGTCACACGACGAAGCAACGTGACTTTGAGGCAGTGTTTTGGGTTTGATCTTGAACGACCTTGATTGATTCACGACAAGGTGAATCGACAAGGTGAATTTGATTTCGAACAAACTCAAGTTTCAAGGAATAGACCTTGAACAACCTCCGACCTCCAACTGAGCGGAATCGACCATGATGGCCTAGCCTATGGTAAGGTAGCACCCCTCTTAGGGTCATGTGTACTCTGCAATCCAGGTGAAAATATCTCATATTTTTATACCATAATTTCACTATCTTCGAAATGGATAGTTTGAAATTTGATATCGAGATCAATTTTGCAATAATGCAACAAACTGGGGCTATGGAACAGAGAACTATGATATCTGTAACTTATAAAATTGAAAAGATATAGATGATGTTCATGCGAAATGATAAATCATTTCAAAGAGTTTTATTGTATGAGGAAACATTCCACAGAAGAAATGATTAGCCAAGTGAACTCATCGAGAGCCAAATTCATTTTCACATATATGACTCAAAGTTCTCAGGATTATCACGGTGCCAAAACCCGCTTATCTCGCTCATATCTTTGTATACAGTAGGCATATGGTATATTAATGTAAAATATGGATTAGTTCTCTCGTTTCGGACATTGTCAAATTTAAGTGACTGCTTTTAGCAACATAATTTTCAAACTTATGAATGTATTTTCAGATCTATTTCTACTGGAAGTGGCTGGAAGCAGTGGACTTGGATTCTGCTATAAGGAGGTTGGCTTGGGGATTTGCCGACCTGAGTTTTGATTCTCTACATTCATCAAATTATAACTTGAGAGTATATTATGATGCCGAAAAGCTGCGAAATTTTTTGGAGGATAGCGACAAGTATGAGCTTGCTGTGGCACTGTGCCATTAATATTCGTATGACTTTTTATATGAGTTTTGCAACATAGCGATCGAAGCAGACTTTGAAATATGTTGTATATTTTCGCTTACATCTAATTGTTTGGTGAATAAAAAAAGTTGAAAAATTATTGAGTGTTTAATTTTTTTATGTCAAATATTTCATTATTCTTTTATTTTCAAAAAGGTGAAAACCGTATGACATGAATATAATTATTTGTATAAAAAATGTGGATTATCTAAGAGTGAATCATAAATGAGAGTTCTGATATCTATACGTGAACAGAGTATCATTGTATCTAGTTACAACACAATACCGACTGAAAGGAAAAAAAAGTTATTATAAGCTTGACAAGTATGTTTTGAAATCATGATAAACTTATTTGGGAGTGAGAACAGAGTTGATATCTGCCATTGGAAGGAAGTTGTTATTATTTTGATCATTGTAATGATGGATGAACAGTTATTTGTTGATATGTATGGTACATGAAAGAACTTGAATGAATATATGAGACCGGATGAGTTATATATTTTTTATATATTTTGTACAACATTAACACTATACTCGCCTGTCTTCTATTTTCTAGAATGGGTATTTTAATTTCTTCCCGTAGTGTTACTGATCTAACTGTATTATAGTCCGAGTATTTTTGTAATATAAATACCTTAGAAATCTGTTTTGAATTTTCTCTAATCTATATTTGTGAACAATATGAAAAGGATGCCAGACTACAACCCCAAATTCAAGTTTAGGTCTGACCAAACTATTATATATATTCGCTTCAATGCCTTCGAAATATACGTTTTGTCTCAATACAAATCTCATAATGTGGTTTATACGAGAGTGTGGAGTTATAGTATACACCCAAATATTTGACAGTCTCTACTCTGGATAATGTTATACCATTTATTGTGTAATCGTATTGTTGATTATTTGATTAGTTTGAGTTATTTATTTATTTCCTTGATCTTATTACCGTTGAATTATTGTTGATACGGGGTTGTTGAAAAAGGAAGAGTTTTTATGTAAATTTGACATTGTCAATCAAATAATTGTCCTGACGAAAAGTGGATATTTTTTGGCACGGAAGTTTGATACGAATTAACACGTATAATGTCTTATTCAGTTTTCGTGTTCAAACAGGACAAAACATTCAGATGTATTGAACGGGAGCTCATTTTTCACACTTCATTTATAGACACTATTAACGTCTTCCTGCAATTTGACACAGTCTTGTGAGTTTTCGATCTGTTGTCGACTAGGGACAATAAATAAAAATTTCTGTGCACTAACGCTACCCTCTCGAACCTGGACACATAATCAAATTCAATGAAACAAAAGTTTTGCAATAAGGAAGACACATGTCAAAAAAGCTTTTCCTAGAAGTAGTAGAAATCTATACTAACTCTAGTTGTATCACACAACAATAGATATTTAACATTCCAGTGAAATTTATAGTTATCTGATGGAGGAAAATCAATTTCGTTAATTCGTATTAGATGAAATAAAATCACAAGGTATAAATAATCAATCGAAAGAATTATGAATAGATATTCTTTATACGTTTTGAATCACTCTTGTCGTTACGGATGGCTTTGGAAATGGAATTTATACTGTCAAATTCGTTTGAAGATTTGATGTCATTGCCAAATGTATTCATTTATAGCGTCTTCACGAAGTCTCATATTAAGGCTACAGCTTGAAGTACGATAAAAATAGAGTAGGTTTGCTCTTTGGAGCTGCGTTTGACGGCCATCCTAATTTTTTTCAATATATGGAATGGAATGAATTCCAGACTATATTAAATTAAACATATTTCTTGATAAGGCCCGATTTATAAACATTATATGCCCAAGAAGTATATTCGAAAGCTATTTCGTGATATGCATCATATAATGGAAGCTTTTGTCCAAGCAACACCCAAAATTGAAAAATTATTTCATTGTTTTTCGTAACTATTTGCTACCTATGTTAATGTTCACGTATTAGTTTTTCCATGATTATTGTAAAGAATGCAGAGAAAATACAAATATTCATTTAATAATTCATGAAGCTGTATTCATCCATAGGGTATTTTGAATTTTGAACTGAAGCATGACTTTGTTGTCCTCCGTGAAATGTGTGGGGATTGTTGGGAAATTCGATTCTGTGAATTTATTTAGGGTGATTTTTTTTCGACACATTAAAAAATTGATCAGTATCGGGCTGAGAATCAAAAAGTTATTAAAGATAAAATTTTGTTAACATTGCCATTTCGAAGTGACCGTTTTTTTACTCACCTGGGTATCTGCTCTAGAGAACTCAAATTATTTCTTAGAAGAGTAGACATATTGCCAAATATAGGGTCTTTCATTTAGCGCCTTCCATCTTTGAATTTGAATAAAACAAATTGTGTGTGAGATATCCTCTGAATTTTTTATTCGTTTGAAAGACCTATTGACGCCATAATGTGTGTGATATTCCATCGTGCAAATGTCTCTGGGTGGAGCACATCCGAAACGTCCAATTTTCCATGGCAAATAAATCAAGGTAATTTTGACCAATGGTATGGAGGCTTTGAGGACCGCTGTGGTTTGTGATCATTCGCATACACCTGCGACTCAAGAAAACCCCACAAAAAATCAAACAGGTTCAAATTGAACGTTAATGGCCAGTTCACATCACATCCACGTGAGATAACTAAGCCCTCCAATCTCTCGTGCAGAATATCCAATGTGACATGAGCTATATGGCACGTACCGCCACTCTGTCCCGTTGAAACCACACATCTGCTTTGGTGTCCAGATTCAATTCAGACCAAAAGAAGTTGGTAATTGTCGACCTATAGTGCTCGCCGTTGACAGTGATGGCCTAGCCAACGTCGTTCTCAAAGAAATGTGGACCGATGACGCTGCCAGCCGAAAATCTACATTAAACAGTGACTTTTTCGGGATGCATTGAACGCTTTTCAATCTCATGTGGACTGGTATCCTCCCAAATTTAACAATTCTGTTTTGTCACGTATCCATCCATCCAGAAATGGGTCTCATTGCTGAAGATGATTTTTCGATGAAAATTAGGGTTAGTTGCCAACTGCTTCAGAGCCCATCCAGCGAACACACGACGTTGTCTATGGTCGTTTACCTTCCTTGGACCAATTGATTTTTGTACGATCACAATGCAAAAATCACCAAGTTGTGGTCTGCGAAAGGCCGAAATCTTGTGAGCGACACGAAAACGACTGCCTCGGATTCTCCTGCACACTCTCATAGACAGCGGCGATGTTTTCGACAGGTCTTGCTTTCCTTTGATGTACAGGTGTTGGTCGATCGTTTAGTAAACCATTGAACTCAAATTTATCCACCACATTACGAATAGTTCTCTCGGTAGGACGATTATAGCGACTGTAAAATGGATGAAGCGCGCGATACGTTGCCCGGACATAATACTCATTTTGATTAAAAAAATATGTGCACGTGTTGTTGAACGCTATATCCATTCATAGAGATTTGGCAAAAGAGTCTGAATAAATAACAAATGGCCGTTATCAAACAGAAGCCGGAAGTCCTTTTGCGTAGACCCTATATTAACATTTTTTCAATATTTTGGTAGATCAACGTTAGCCTGAAATCAGTAAGTAGTATCTAATATATGGTGATGATTGTACAAAAGAGCATTTTGCGGATTCATTCATAAGTATCCAATACAAACGAAAGTAAACATAATACGAATGTATCGAAAATGAAATTTCTTCAGTAGTCCAAAGCACGATCGTTACATTTCGAACTCGGCATCGTTTTCGTTATGTTCATACCCTGAAATTATCAATGAAGTATACCATTTCAAAGTATGTGTTTACTTACTTGGTATCTAAAGTCACGTTCACTCGCCTTCTTTACTTTCCTCTGAAACAAATGGAAGTATTTAATAAAAGTGAAATATTTCATATTCTTTTTTTTCATTTTCTATCATTCTTTACTCCAGGAGCATGAGAATATTTTCTGTGCTTTTGTGAAAAAGTATGGGGATGTATTGAACCATTCCCAACTTACTATAAAATCGAACAGAGATTTTAAGAACAGAGTATTTAATTATTCGCAATACGAGAATTCTCTAATTAATTTTACTTTGTAAACCAGAACCCTAAAACTTGTGATCACTTTCTTGTTGAAAGACAATTCACGACCATCTGGATTTTCCCCAGATGGGGACATCGGTCTGATTCGAAAGGAGGCAGACCTGATGAATAAGAGGGGTGGTTCAAGTAAATCGTATCCGAAGTAACGAATTGTTTGCATGACAACAGACAATTTGTGTATAAGGACATTGTCCTCCAAAAACAAAATACCTCTGGACAAATTTTTGTGTTCATATTTATTTTCGTAGACTGGTTAGTAAATTCGAGTAGTAATTTTTAGTTGATTTTCTATTATTCACATTTACTTCTTGACAATTTCAAAAAACTAAAACAAGAAGTCTTTCAACAAATTTTTGAACACGAACCAGCATGTCCTTAGCCCATCGATTGCTGTTTTTCTCTGTGTTGTAAAAATGTACCCAAGTTTCATATGCACTAACAACACGCTCAAGAATTATTTGCCGAACCGAATACGAATCGAACGTGATGATTATAACCTTGAAAGCTTCTGTTCAAGATTCAAACTTTTGGAGATCTATTATGCATGAACGTTTTTACCAATTTGACTGTTTGTTGAAGTCATGTCATGGATATTTTCAAGCATGTACCAAAAACTGCTTTTTCGATCGGTCTCTATCTTCAAACAAATAGCCTCTTTTGGAACATGCAATAAAATTTTTCACAGAAGCAGGTATTTTCTTTATTGTCTTAGTAGGGTACGTACTAATGACGGTTCTAGACTACCACTCGCCAGTATTCACGTATTCACCCCAATGGCAATACACTGACTTTGACCTTGAAACCTTGTCTCCACCTACTTCTCTCCTGAGATTTGGCTTTGAGTTACGTGTGACGTTACATGACTTTGAGTTACGTCAAGACAATGGAACTAATCCTCAATTACATGCCTGTGGTTCGACTTCTGAAGATGCAACGATTCGATTACCTTGGGTCGTACTTCTCATAACTTTGGAAATCACAGCCGGTTTTTGTCCTCCCTCAAACACTAGTATCGTCGCAACGTATGTGACTTTGAATGCTGGTTACTTGCCACAAGGGGCCGATGTCTACATTGAAAAGTTCAGTCCGTAAAGAAACCCAGTGGTAATAGGGGTACTGCAAGTCTTTTGACCCTGCTCGCACCGATATATTCTGCCATTCGTTCACCAGCTGTCATTTTCCAGTGCAACACCATATAAATTTGACAGCTGTCAAACTGCCTTTTCGAACTTTTTTCCACGAAAACGATTATTTTTAGCGGATGATCAGTCATTCACTAGGTGTTTATCCTCTCAGTGCTAGTATGTGGGTTGGTTATAGTGTGCAAGAACCCTTCAGATTCCTGGTGAGTACTTTCGAATTTACCATTCACGATGATAGCATTCGCTAACCTTTGGGAAAACACTAAAGATGTGAGTTCTGATAGCAGTATGGAACCTGCTTGACAGCCTGATGGCTATGGACAGGGGTGAAGTAATTACCCTCAAGGGCATTTTACTTGATCGCCTGGGCCTGAGTCCATCAGAGCTGCTAAGGGGTAATCCCATATCGGCAGTTAGGGAACCTACTGTCCCTCCACCAGGGGTCAGGATGCTTTTTGAGCGTCCGTCACAAAACTGTCCTCCAGAGATACTCCCATCGACTGCAATCTCTCTGCAAAGTCAAAAATCAAAGCCGATACTACGATCAAGCCGCAGGAACCGGCCATCAAAAGGCGTAGGCTTCCGGAAGAGTTTCCTCCTCTTACAACAAAACCCATCACACCTTTAATTCGGAATCTGAACTATCCACAACAGAATCCTCTGTCGAGGGTGACAACGACAATATTGAAATGGATGATAGCAAATCCGACAAGTTGATTTCGACTGTACAGGGTGATCCGAAAAATCCGACGACCCAAAATTTCGATCAGGTTGAAAATTCAACTGAGCAGGGAACTAGCTCCCCTCTGCATGCGAGTGCTCCAGAACACCAGAAAAGTATACGTTCCACTAATTGTCGTTCACTAGAAAGAAAAGTGGGTTCAATTCACACGTTAGCAGCCTTCGAAAAAGCCAACTTTTCTAAGGTAGTTAACCTGGCAGACGGCATCAAGATACATCCTTCTTTGGTTATAGGCACTATGTCCAAGCTCATGTTGAGGGAAAAATTCCCCCACCATACGTACACTCTTGCTGAAGACAGGCAAATCAGAGCCGTCTTCAGAGGAGTCCCCGAATACCTGGAGACCGCTGACATTGACGTCGCCTTGGTGGAAAAAGGTTTCCAAAAATCATCTGTCACCAGGATAATGCGAGGAAATCGACCATTTCCTCTGGTTTTGGTTCAAGTGAACCAAAATCAGGGATCTTCTTAAAGTCATGGTTGAAGTTGAGCCACAATATCAAAAGACACTGGTAGGGCAGTGTCACCGATGTCAGCGGTTTGGGCATTACTGGCGGAACTGCCTGGCCATACTCATCTGCGTCAAGTGCGCTGGCAGGCACCTTTCAGGTGAGTGCAAGAAGCCAAGCGCCGAATTGCCAATGTGCAATAATTGCAAGGGTGTGCACACTGCAAACTACCGCGGTTTTCCTGAGTTTCCTAAGGATCGCAGGAGGACTAGAGTAGCTGCAGGTGCCCCTCGATATGAACCCACGCCTCGAAGGCGACCTGCCGGAGCATCTGGCACACGCCCGGGCATGAGCTATGCTGGGACGGCAAAAAGCGGTAACACCTCCGCCAGGCCGACCACGGCACCCACTAGTCCTCCCCCGTCATAGGTTAGTGACATCTGTTCCGCTCTTGAGACCACATGATGAAACTCTTCATTCGGTTTCCCGTACTCGGAAACATGTTTGCGGTAAACAGCAACGTGCTAACTGGAGCTTCCTAATAACTAGAAAACCTACATTTCCTAGATCTTTAAAGGTTGTATTTTGGAATGCCAATAGTATTCTGAACAAGAAGTTATACTTTAAAAACTTTTCAATTGACATGAATATCGATTTCGCACTTGAACAGAAGACCCACCTGCACAACGATTCTTGTGAAATTCCAAACTACCGTTTCTACCATACAGAACGCGTTGGACGTGCCGGAGGAGGAGTAGGCATCTTTGTCAAACGTTATCTTCCCCACGTACAATTCGGCATTGACTCGGACCATTTACATGGTACGGAAGCCGTGGGCGTCGAGCTTCAACTGAGAAGAGGTCGTCATAGACTAATCTCAGTTTACAACCCTTCGCAGAATCGACACAATTGCTGCTAGTGACTTCAACGCCAAGCATAATCTGTGTAGCATAGTCACCAATGCAAACGGTTGAGCGCTCCATGCGCATGCTTACAGGCTTGAGAATCGAGGGATGGGTCCAGGTGAGCACACGTACTATCTCGGGCAGTATAGGCCTGACGTTCTTGATATCGCACTGTTCAGACACATCTCCATGTCCTGCGAAGTCGGAACTAGATTCGGATCATAATCCAGTCATTCTGATGCTGTGTGATGATCCCGCTCCTCAGGAATATCGCATGAGATCATCCACGGATTGGGAAGCATTCAAGGATCATCTAGTGGAGACACGGACAGACCGTGAGGAACTTCAAACTTGCAGCGGTCTCGAACTTTACACGTACAGACCGTGAGGTACTTCAAACTCGCAACGGTTTCGACGCGGCGGTGACGGATTTCGAGATGAGTGAACAACGCTTTCCGCGCAGCCACAGCTAGGACGAAGTGTCCAACGCGAAGCTACAATGAGTTTCCTCCCATGATAGAGAAATTTAGCCGGGAGAGAAACCGACTCAGACAAGTTAATCAGCGTACTCTCTATACTGGAGAACTGTCTATCGTGGAGACCCACATGAAACCCAGGCTATTGACTTGCGGAAATGTGATGTTTTTACAGACACAAGGGTTACGATCTCAGGCAGGGAGTTAATCAAGAGTGAAGTAGCTAGGTATTTGGATAGATCGCCGTCTTACCTGGGTAAATCACATTGAGAACATCAAGAGCAAGGCTCAATCGAGCATAGCCAGACTCTATCCTCTGGTCGACAGACAGTCAAAAATCAACCTTAGAAATAGGGTTCAACTATTGAATACGATGTTTAAGCCTGTTATTATGTATGCTTCAGGCGCTTGGGGACTAACCGCCCCTTCAAATTTTTCCACTCTAGAAAGATTACATAATGAGATTTTATGGATGCATTCAATCAAGAAATCAGAAGGTTTTCGAGTCAGCGGAAACTCATGGAAACATACTAGTCAGGGAAGCTGTGGACTACACTGTAGATAACACTATCCAGTTTAGAAGGTTCCGTCGCTCATTTGAATGAATGCCCCACGACGTCTGTTCAAGTGAACAGTTTGTTCATCAAATACCTCGCAGGAAGGGGTACACAGAGAGTTTTGAATCATTCGTCCTCTTGACGAACCTCAGTTGAAAGGGCGGAGGAATATTTTCCAACCTGATTGCACTCGCACAGAACATGCCTGACAGTCTCATCTTCCTGTTCACACATCCTGCTTAGAGGTGTGTCCACCAGCCCCATATTATGAAGGTATTTCCTAAGTTGACTGTGACCAGTCAGAAATCCTACTGTTAGACGTAGAATTTTCCTGGTCATTGCCAAATATTTCTTCGGCGCCAGCTTTCCAGGGTCACCCAAGGTGATCCTGGCAAGATTACATCCTTTGGTTTCGTCCCATCTCTTTAAGGATTGAGCATGGGTGTAACACTTGACTAGTTCCGCAATTGTCGAAGTCATCAGGCCGTAGGTGCCACCCTAATAATTTCCTACTAGGAGAGGTTTCAGTGGTTGTCAATCGAAAAATAATATTGACATCTGAAACAAGTGAAATGAAAAAATAATTATCAATATCGATAGCGTATTTGTGAATGAATCATTTTACAAACTAAACTAGAAAGTTTTCGATTACTAATTTTGAATTTGTGTATTATTCAAAATTACCGATGAAAAATACGTATTGACTGCAATTATTTCCTTTTATATATTTATAGATGAATAGACGGAATACTCATATTCGATAGTATCAATATTACACCTTTTAAACTTTCAATGTTACGAAACCTACTTTCTTGAGTCAACAACTCAACTCCTGAAAACTGCAGTTTCTGTTATGTTCAAGGATCAGTCAATCCGAATCTAATTTTGGTATGGAATCATTCCATTCTATATTAGATCATTGTTCAAATCCGAAGCGACATCGCGATGATCCTCAATTCAATGAAATCGCCCCTCTGTGGCATGAGTCGTTCCATTATATCTCTCATGTTCATCCTCGACAATCATTCCTACGCCGGATGACCGGCACAAGGGCTCTAGCAGACACCGTCATTTGTTCGACTAATGATTGTCCAACAATGAGGGCATGGGGGAATTAAACCCATTGACAAGTTCTCTCACAAAAAAATGATCATGGAACAATTCTTTTTTTTTCAGTAATTCGAAATCCATTCGTTCATATAATTGAAAATTCATACATTTCCAAATAATTTATTTGATTGATTACTGCTGAATTTGATCAAGAATACCTAAGGTTCGAAAACTACTTTCTCAGCTGATACCACAATGCACATTAAATTATAGAATGTAGTTATCCGGCAGGCAAATATTCATATTTTAATAACGTTCGTATCTCTAATGATACAATCTTCTGACCTATTCAGATTTCTTGCAAAGCATTGATACACAACTTTTTCGCTTAGGGAAAGAGATGGAGCTTTCATTAGTCAACATGGTCTGTATTATAGTCTGGGTCACAAGATCCTTTTTTTGGACACCGAAAATTATGATTCAGGACTCATTGAATTCGGAATGACCTCTAGCAACTTATTGAAATATTTCAAGAGGGGCTCGAAAAAATTGCAAAAGTTATAAACAATTCAATAAAAAATAGGATGGTTTGGTTTTTTGCGGAAAATATTGAAGATATCTCAANGTCGAATGTGGTTTTCAGTTTAAAAATTATCAGTGTTTTTATGTAAATATAAAACTTGTAAAAATTAGTTAACTTAAGTATATCTCAGTTAACTTATATGTCATACCTGAACATTGATAATGAAGATTCTCTCCAGAATTCGAATAGTTTTTAAAGACAAATGCACTGTTTTTCAGTTAATTCACATTGAAAGTTTCAAATTTGACGTTCGAAGAATGAAAGCCAACATTCAACAACCTGTTATTCCGGTTGTATTTGGTCTACAGTCACTGTACACCTATCATATTTTCACATTTTTTGTAACTACATTCTGCTGGAAAATATTTTTTTCGATAAAATACTCACTTTTTGAATTGTTTGCGGCTATTTTCCTCGAACAGAAAAAACAGAAAGATCTTTCAAACGATGTGCGACTCAACCCCTATTCTCTATTAAAATTCCAAGGGTTATTCATCCCTCTGCTCCGGTGAAGAATTGACGACACCGTAAATGGAGAAAAAACCGTCCCACTCCCAATTAAAATCGACCTGTCTGAGCGATTTTTTGAATTTGCTACATTAGTACCCAAAACCATCAAGTTTTCGATGGCCCACCCTGTATATGTAATTACTACTCCCAACGATTTCATTATTTCTTTATCTGATCAATATTGAGATAGCTGAAGAGAGTGCTGCTGCGTACTTTATCTACATCATGATTACCTTTGTTTAAATAAAACCATTCAATATAAAAAATTTGTTCACTTATTTTATTTCAAAATCACACTCCGATCTATTTGACCAATGCCAATCGAACAACTAGAAATAGATAAAACCACTCGTCATACGGACCCGTAGTTTCATCAGGCTGGTTACTCTCATGGCATCACTAAATACCAAATTTTTCGTTAAGAAATAACTTCCGATAAACCATCTAAAAACGTGGGTTTATTGGTTGAAAACTTGACAGTTTCACGGATAACTCAACAAGTATTGACTTTTAGAGAATACTTTATAGATCGAAAGTTGCTAAGAATTAGACAATCTGCCTACTTCAGGACCTATTTTCAAAGATACTTTTGTCATCTTCGAGAAGGGTGACATCCACCTTTCAGTACACAAGCCACCCTCGGTACATATCGTCTACTTTGAAGTAGAGTGTATGAAGAATCCAAGTCTGAATTTTCGTGAAAATCGATGCTGTTTGGCACATTAATCAGTATCTCCGTATTTCACCTTCAATGATTGCACGAGTAGTGAACGGCTCCTCAAAAAATTCTCAACCGAATTGGATGTGGATCTGTGACTGTAACAAATGACTGCCGACAATAAAAAGCGAACAGGGATTTCCACTCACCCTGATCGTCCTCATGTGCTCTTTCTTCGCCGCCCTGGAGTAGCCGCAAAACTTTCTGCGGATCCACTCGATTATGTACCACAAACTCTTGGGAGTCGGAATGATGTTGAAAGGGACGGGCACGGTGCCGCCTTCCTCAAAGTAACTGATCCAGAGTTTGCTGCGAGCGAATTTCCATTCGGAGTCCGCACGTTCCTGAAGAAATTAAGCAACAGCCGTCATGTCAAAAATATGAAATGAAAATAATAGTCGATACCTTATTTGAAAGGTCATTCAGTTCTGTATTCAATTCCGTAACATTTTCGACACAAACGGAACAACCATAAGTAACGTGTGATTTATTGTATATACTCACCGATATCAGCTGATAGGAATGATTCATCATAGCTATCAGTAAGTTGAGAAGAACTACTATATTTATAACAGAATATGTACCGAACATCAACATTCCCCAAAATCTTGTGAATATTTTTATTTCGTTGAGTTCGAAGCTTTCCAAGTCTATCAGACCAAAAACTGCCCAGAAGAGAGTTTGACTTGTTTCAAACAAACTGGAACAAAAATAATTTGTCAGTGATATGATAATAGTAGTAATTATTCATTCACTCAAATCATCACAATAGTATCACATACATAAAATTCTCATTTCGATAAATAGGAGGGCGAAAAGGAGAGAAGTTCAATATAGTTGGTCTTCCACTCCTCCATGAGAAAGTTAAACAATATTTTGTTGACACTTTTCAATAACACCTAAATGTATGTTGACTAGTGTAACTAATTGTGAAAGTATAGAAAAAACAAACAAACAAGAGTTTTTCATCAGGAAATATGAGAACATCTAATTAGGCTTTGTTCAAATTGAAAGCGGTATATTTTTAGGAGACATTTATTTTTGGGAAAGAAAGGTGTGGGCTTTCTACTCCTCCATGTTCACTCAACACTTTGAATTTGATTTTTAGTTTTCCAATTCATGAAGTTACAGTATTTCCAGTTCCCTAGATAATTGGAATAGATTTAAAATAGATTATACTTTTTTTTTATAAAGATATTGAATGATACAGAAGTACAGAATAATACAGAAACTGGAACAAAACGAACAGAAAAAACATAAAACATTTTTGAAATGGTTCAAATTTTTATATAAATTTGGCTCGAATTGTTAAGATTTGTTTTCTGAACCATACAATATTTTTCGTTATTGACGTGGGTTATTGTTAAAAATGTTCTATCCAAAATTTCTGTGTTTTCGAAATGCGCAGGAATTAACGCTTTTATGTGACGATATGCTACCAATAAGAGGCCTAGAAGTCTGTCCCATATATGTTTCGGAACAAACGATGTATGGAATTTTGTACATGGTGTTCGATTTTTGTTTATTCAAAATAGGACCCATTTTATTATATAATTTAGAAATAGTTGTGACATTTCTTTTAGAAATTACAAAGTTATTATGTCGGAATACATCAATTAATTTTCGTGTGCATTCTTGAAAATTAGGTAATGATTTATGAGTAAAGGGCTATACTAGGTTATCAAGTTTATTTTGGGAGGTTGAAGACATTGTTCTTTTACAAAAAATTAGTCTATTCACTAAATATTTGAGATAGAAATTTCATTAGAATTTTTCTCCGCTTAGAAAAACTTTGGTTTTGAAAACTGAAATTTCAATTATTCTGTTTTTTTTTTTTGGTTTTATCACTTCACCTCACCTCACCATACCACACCTCAACCAACTCGAATCGACTCGACTCGACTCGTCTCGTTTCTTCTCGTCTCGTCTCGTCTCGTCTCGTCTCGTCTCTTCTCATCTCATCTCATCTCATCTCATCTATTGAAATACTGGAGGATGTTGTGATTACTTTTTTTCTTGAAATCATCATATTTTTTGTTTTTCTGCATAAAAAATTAAGTAGCGTCCTCTAGGAGACGAGTGATGCAACACTATTTTCTCATCAGAAAATACCGAAGACGTGTATATTTACGTAAATTTGCCCAGCCTTTATATCTTGTTGCATTTCAGAAATTAATGAGTGGTGGGGGCCATTTACTCCGCACTGTATATCGTAATATCCAAGAGAAATGAACCGCAATCACAAGTAATGCTAAATCTCGTTCAACAAACTCCATCTTCCCGAGTCCCATTAGTCTAATTAACAAAGTTGTTATCAAATGGGGAGTTCAGCAAATAAAAAAAGTAGTTAACATCGGAATAACCTCCGGTCGATTAAATAATTATTAGAATTACTTAGCGAGATTACTTCCTGCAGCTGAGTCGATTTCTCAAAAAAGGCAAGAATGTTACATAAACGAGAATGTTAGCTTGTTATTAGGATCTACTTAACCATTAACTCTAACTCCATTGCAAGTTGCGTGCTAATGTACATGTAACTTGTATTTAATTTAGTGAGGAAATGAAGGCCCTCAGAAGTCGTGTTCTAGTGCATTGAATGAAGTTTTATCTTAAATTCATCAATGGATGTGATCATTCTGAAGATTTTAATGATAGTGAATGCAATAACAGAAGAGACTATGAAATTTCTTGTTGATACCAATAAACGATGCGAATAGAAGCGAATGAAAATTTGGGAGAATAGTTCTCAATGAAAAATGAAAAAATTTTATATAAGAATTTCCTCGAAAAAATGTTTAAGGAAATGAGTAGATCAGAAATGCCAATCAAAGCAAACAGTGTCCAGAAGCTTTCGTGTACCAATAATAGACAGAAGTGTTTCCATCTACTGCAGATCTCACCAGAGGTAAAGAGCAGGTTCATGTTTTCAACTCCCCTATACTAAGTTGAACATTTTCAACTCTCCTATCCTGAGAGAGTCCTATGGAACGATTGATAATAAATACTTCCCTACGAAATAGTCCTTCACTGAGATTCATCTAGTCGAAACTTCACAATTTTTTTGGTAAAAAAAGTTGTAAGTTCAGTAATTGTTTTACACAAAAATTCACCTGAGTTGCCTTCTACTCACCTTATGGACCAGTATAAATCGTACACTTTGTAATAGACAAGAAAAATGTACTGAAAAATTCAAATGATAATCCTGATAATAACTAAAAAAGAAAAAGTTCGTATAACTTTATTAGATCATAAACTGGAGCAGATTGTGGAATGGTAAGAAAATATTATCATCATATTGAATTATTTTTATTGCTTTGTAAAATATATCGGAATATATATATATATATATATATATATATATATATATACAGAC